CACAAAACAAACTATAGTGTAAAATGAAACGATAGATGTTTTTATATCGTCATCCGATATATCGTTATATCGAACAGCCCTAGTGAAGCACTGGGAAAATGGCTACCAGTTGGTTCCTTCTGTCCACCCCTTCCAAAAGCACTTGCTTTGTCTGCTCAGTGGCTCGGTGAGTTGTCGTAGAAGGGAATATTGATTTCATCACTGTGGGTGAGACGGCAGCGACCCCACTGTGGCTGACTGATCTCAATCAGGGATGAGACAAGCTGACAAAGTGAATTTATCATAAACCGGAGTGGGAGTAGATCTTATTTTCTGCCACCCTGTCCTCTGTTCTCATTATGGTGTTTCTTACTGTGTTTTTCAGGTGCCAAGAACCTGTACATCATCTCTGTGAAAGGCATCAAGGGGCGTCTGAACCGTCTTCCTGCTGCTGGAGTTGGTGACATGGTCATGGCCACAGTCAAGAAAGGCAAGCCAGAGCTCAGGAAGAAGGGTAAGTGGGAAACTGGTCGTCATACAGTCTTCACCAGACATGTAGGTTCTGTTTGCAGCGTTGCACACACTTTCATAAACTAATTATTAAATGTCATTTAAGCTGCTTTCCTGCAGAAGCAGTCATTTCTCAATGATAGATAACTAAACAATAAGGAGCGGTGGATCCATTAACAGTGAAGCTGGTGACTGTATTCCTCTTTGCCTGTTTAGCTTTAGTTTAGTGAAACGTGTTTACAGGTTCTAGTTGGAGTAGCCCTCCAGCTGGAAGATCCCTAGAGCAGAGCAGGAACTACTGTCGCCATCTGCAGTCTTTAAATGTCTAATTATAAGTTGCCAGTTTTGGTTGCAGAAAGTTGTTCAAATACGGTTTTTAGTTTTTCATTTTGAGCTCAAATTAACCTTGTTCCCCTCTCCACAGTGCATCCTGCGGTGGTGATTCGGCAGCGGAAGTCGTATAGACGAAAAGATGGCGTGTTTCTCTATTTTGAAGACAACGCGGGTGTCATAGTAAACAACAAAGGAGAAATGAAAGGTGGGTTTTTGAAACGTGGTGTGGCATTCATGCGCGCTGTACAGGGAGGTGATTGGTGTGTGGTCATGACAGGCGCATATTTGCCCTTCCAAAAGCACTTGCTTTGTCTGCTCAGTGGCTCGGTGAGTTGTCGTAGAAGGGAATATTGATTCCATCACTGTGGGTGAGACGGCAGCGACCCCACTGTGGCTGACTGATCTCAATCAGGGATGAGACAATTTATAAATACTCAGTACAACTTTTTCTTTTAATGTATTGGTTAATGTGATGTTTGACCCAAAGTATGTGCTCCCAGTAATGGAAATAACACCACCTTATAAATTTGCCTAACTTTTACGCCTCTCCATTGTAAAATCAGTTTATTTTTTCAGCTTTTAAAATAACACAAGTATCGGGACTTATGTTCCTTCGTGTGTGTGTCTACAGGTTCTGCCATCACAGGCCCAGTGGCCAAAGAGTGTGCTGACCTGTGGCCCAGGATTGCCTCCAATGCTGGCAGCATAGCCTGAGCTGGACCCTGCACCTGTTTGTTTTCAATAAAAACATGTTATTGAGATGTGTCTTGGTTGTTTCATTTACCTTTCGGTCCAAAATATTAAGACTATTACAGAAAAGGCTCTTATCGTTGTGATTTAATATTTATAGTCAAGTACATGCTCAGAACTTGTTTGGTAATATGAAGTTTATTTTTCTTTTATATTCAGTATGTACATGACTGAGAGCTGGTACTCCTTGCCGTTCCTCACATTAGATACACTAGAGCCAACAAAGATATTGTTAACAAAAATGTCAAGACTACAGCTGTGGGGAAAAGTCTAAACTTTGAACCTGACTGGAGAATTTAAATCAAAACAAACTAACTCGTGAGGGGTGAATTTTACAGCCGACATGAGGATGGGATAGAAGCCACACAAGATTAATAAAGAGGAATACACTTCAAAATGTGTTTTTACAGTGTCTAGCTGTCACCACCTAACCGTGAATGAAATCTTCCCCTAGTGGACTTCTTTATAGGAGTGTGGCATTAATAGAGTTTTGAATATACAGTGGAGGTGACCTGTGAATTGGCATGTATGTGTACACCATCCTTTTTCAGTTAGTGTATAAATGTGCTTTCCTGCTCGGCCATTTTCAGTTCTGTCTGCTGTACTTGGACATCCCTGGCACCTCACTGCTTGGCAGATGGAAGCCACACTACCATCTGCATAGAGCATGTTTCCTCTGTCATAGATGCCTTCATCATGCCCATGTTCCAAAGTCAATCAGTCTGAGGTACAAAGAAAAGAAAAACATTGCATTTTCCTGCACTTCACTGTGACAGTATGTCTGCATACAGTTTCAGTTGTGAAAAAGCAAGAGGTTAGTGACACAATGGACATAAAATGCCTGACAAACAAGCAGACAGTGCAAAGCTATCAAGCTGTAGAATGCACAGTTGTGGTCAGAAGTTTGCATACTTGATATTTTGAGCCTTATCAATTTCTTTGAATTGTTCTTTTCCCCTGGTATAATGATTGCAGGGCATACATCTTTAATGTTTTAAAAAATATTTAGTACACAACTTTGAATTTATTTTGTTTTTTTCCTCTTATCCACACGTGGTCAAAATTATATATACAGGCTAAAATATATACACACACACTTTTGTCTTTCAACTTCAAGAGCTATTCTCATTATCGATCATAATTGACTTTCGCAGCATAGAGGAAGTTATATGACAACAATCATTGAATTGACAAATATGCAGAACAACTGGAAAGTCTAAGAAAGGAGAATTACAGAGTTACACAACTTGGGAAGGTGTCTTGGAGCCATTTATAAACATCTGCAGATTCCAAGATCATCAGTTTGAACAATTTTGTGTAGGTACAAGTTGTTTGGATAAAGCGGATGAAGATGGACGGATGGATGGATGGACAAGTTGTTTGGATGTGTCATCATCGCCAAGTTGTAGAAGAAGACCCTATCCTGCACTCAGGTGAAGAAATTGGTTAGGATATTCAGAAACAACCAAGGCTCAAGTCTGCCTGAGTCTTGGAAACTGCTATAATGTCAGTGTCACTGTACAGTAGGACAGGTTTTGGATCACTGTGGAGTTTGGAGGCTTTAAAACCTCTGCAAATATACCGACTATCGAGCATGGTGGTGGCAGTATGCTCTCAGGCTGTTTTGCTGGATACAACAGAATGTTCCAACGGGAGGGTAATGCTAAACATGGATCAAAACTGGTTTTGGACTGGATAAAGCTGACAAAGCTTCTAGAATGGCTTTGCTAATGGCTAATAACAACTAATAAACAACAGTTCATCATTACTTTAAGATATGAAAGTCATTCAGTTTGGGAAACCTGAAGTTTAAGAGATTCTTTCTGCTGCAAAGATGGGTTAGAGAAACCACAGCTCATCAAACAGCATTGCTCTAGAAATGCCCCTTTACGTCTAAATTAGTTTAAAATTGGGAGGTACAACTTTTTTTGATCGTTATAAAGCCTTCAATTAAACCAATGAATCCAATTAAACTATCAGCTACTTCAAGTTTACCTACTGGTTTATAAAATGGTTTTGATTGGATACTCGTGTCTATTCTTGGTAATGGGCTTCTTAAGAGTTTTGTTCCCACATACTAGGGCAACACATAGGTTAGTACTGCTGCCACAGAGGTGTAGAAATAAGAAAAGTGTATTTTAATTTTTTTTATCCAATCTCATGTAAAAGGAAATTTCAATGCTATTTTTTATTTTTCATAAACAACCAAATCTCATACTTAAAATGTGTGGCACAGTCGGTCTACTCTGGACTGGTTTAGGATGGTGTCATTCTAGTATTACTACCGTGTGTCAGAAATGCTGTGTCATCCATGGCAACTCAAGTTTTCTTCAAGATATTTTCAGTGTCTTTTCAAGTTTTGCTAGATGGACATTATTCTCCATTAACACAGCATACAGTCTGCTCTGAACTTCCTGGACAATCATCTATTTTTCAGGAGAATGGCCCATGCATCTGAGATGGCTTGAAATGAGTAGGAGCACAGAGTTTAAGAGAACACAGCCACCAAAAGCATTTGTGGGAACTACTTGAAGATATTTGTAAAATCTGTAGGTCTTCATGACTTCTTAATAGTGAAATTTAACAGTTTGATGTCTTCAGCAGTGTTCAACAATACAGTAAGACAAGAAAATCCATTAAATGACCATGTGTTTACAGTAGAATTTCTTTGGCTGTGCGGTATCTCAAAAAAAATTCCTGGTCTTTACTGTATTTGATCAAAAGGCTAGAGTGTCAATTCTTCAGTCATTTTGTATGACAGCAGTTCAGGTTTGAATAAAGTAATGGACTGAGTAAGATAGGATATTAACCCCTTCCTTGGGCATTTGTTTCAAGCTGTCTCAGAGTTGTGTATTCTATTTTTCTTGTTTGGGTTTCTACTGTCAATATAACTTCTTTCCCAATGGTCTTGCCAACCAGCTCCATTTCCACACTTGACACTAAACATCTCTTTGATTATTTTACAGTTTCACTTTTATTTCACCAACGCCAAACAGAAGCAGCTTAGTGGGGTTTTTTGTTTTTAAATATAAAGTAGAGCTTACCCAATGCTGTAGTGGAAAAAGAGTTTAAATTTCCAGGGAGCCACCTTCACTACAAGTCAGAATTTTGGCCATGCTATGTGAAGTTCCCATTGTGTGGACTTAAGATGTGCCATTTCCCAGAAAGAAATGGGAACCAATTTGTTTTATTTCCCAACAAGTTAACTTTAGATCTTGAATTCAGGTAGAAGAACCGACCCATATGGAAAAGAAATAGTGAAAATTTATATGATTTACTCATGAAAGTGGCCACTTTCTCATTACTTTCATACATTGTTTTAGTAAGTATCCAAAACATACAAGTTTCATTATATAATTTTTCAAGGGATCTTATATCTGTTTTCACTCTTGTATGCTTTTCAAGACAGACACAAGACAGATACAAACTTTATAAGATTTATATATATCTTTTCCATATGGGGAAGCTGTTCTATTTGGATAATTACGCTAGATTCTGAACAATACATTTTATGTGGTGCTCTAAAAGTTGAAGTTTAGCAGACTCATGAGTTGATTTGTACCTCAAGAGTGACTCTGCCTCTGATAAATTTATCTAACAAATTAAAATTCAAGGTATTACGTCCAGTCTGGGAATAAATGGCCTCCCTCCCTTCCCTTTGCTGTCCTTGTCGCTGGGGGCCTCAGTGTGGGTGCTCTGTGTTGGGCTGGGCTGTGGGCGCTGTTCACAGGTGGCATGGGGGTGGGTGTGCCATGTCCCATCCCGGTAGGTGCAGTAGCATACTGTTCGCTCGTCAATATTCACACGCTCCCCTGCTGGGATCACCCTGTTCCCAGCAAAACAGTTGGGACCTATAACGACAGTTAACATTTTATTGTCGTTTCCGTCATCAAACAGTGAACGAGTTCATAGAAGAGCGTATCCTTCTTCTGTAGTCGAGGTTATCGCTTGTGAAACATGCCGGCTGTCTCTCTAATGGGACCGCACCTTTAGTCTCATTGTTTTCAAGTAGGGTTTACTTTTAAAAATAATCATAAACCTAAAGAATAAATAACTCCATTCTTGCATATTTTAAGTCTCAGATCTGTAATTACAGACAAATCTGGCTGTAGGTTATTATAGGGCTTTAACCCCAATTTGATATGGGGGTCCACTCCCAAGCTACAACCCACCAACCACCCACCTCAGCACTGTCAGTATTAGCTGTATGCTTGATGCTTTGTGAATTACTCAGTTAAAAAATATTATCATGGCTTGCTAGTGTGCTCAAAACAAACAAGCACACAGTGAAATGTTTTTTTCCATTGCAACACAGGTCTAAATATAGTTGTTTTTTTATTTTATTTTAATATTACCTGTTAAAATTCCTGTTTCGTTTAAATTATGTCAATTTTCTTGCATACAGCAGTTTTACTATTGATTTACTATTTTAGTTTAAGAAGTCTCTCTTCCCAAAAGATAAATGAATGCCCTCTAATATCTCTCAGGTCTATATCATATTAAAGCAACAACAAAATCGCAGTTACAAATTATGTGGGATAGTAATTACTGACTAAATAATGCAAACAGCCTGCCTTTGATTTGCATTCCTTATTCACAGATGGGGCTCCTTTATTTGGCGGCTACCTGAGAAACAATTACCAACCCCAACCAGCAGGAGCACAGGAAGTACAGTTCATCTAATGCCAGATCTGATGGCATCCAATAAAGCACAGCTGACATAAGGGAATTTGGCAGTAGTAAGGAAAAAAATAAATAAATTTAAAAAACAGTGACGCAACAAACTGAACCATCTGTCCCGCTGTCTGTGCAGAACTGAAGCAGTAAAAATAGAAGGTTCAACTTAACTGCAACTGCCTTTAGACACCAAGAGCAAGGCAACAGCAAAGCATGTTTATGTGCATGTTCCTGTTGGGGTTTTTTTTTACCTTTTAACTGCTTTCCATGTCCAATTTATTCTATAATTAAGGCAACATATAAAAGCAAAGGTAATATACCCACTGCTACAAAAGAGCTCAAACTCTCCCACACACACACACACACACACACACACACACACACACACACACACACACACAC